GGGAGGACTTATTTTTAGCTTTTTTAGAACATGTAAGCAAATTTAGCAAAGGCATTTTTAGCAAATACATCCATAGTATGTATTTTAAGGACAAATTAAGAATTTTTATTTTTTAATTAATAATAAAAATTGAGAAGGCTTATACTTAAACTTTAATACTATTAATTGGCTTACCGGACAACTCCATAAAATACAAAAGGTTTAAACTCAATAGGTAGAAATTTGAGATCCATAATTAGCTAAAGGTGCCTTTGCCCAATCAAACTTATAGGTCCATCGGCAAGGGTACCGATCCAATGATAGAATATCATTTGAATATGTCACGGGCAGTGCTGCCTTTGTTGGTGACTTGGTGTCCAGAATGTAATGCGAGCAGGTGCACATAAAACTTGCCTTTTACCATTTTCAAAAAAGAAAAGGAAATTACCGTTTACCTTGGACTCCAACGCAAAAGAATGGGAAACATGAGTGCCCTCAAGTCTCCCTCATGAATTGGAATTTTCACCATTGACAAAAGCCAACATATACATCTTGGCCCCAATTGTCATTATAATTTAGCAAAGTGGCGTGATTTTTTCACTTCCATTGTTTCTCTTTCCTTAGATATTTTTCTCAGCATCGGATTCCGTTGCCTCTTGCCATTTACCAATAGCATAGCCACGTGTTAATAAGGTTAAAAACTTTTTTTTTTGTCTCTTTATTATTGAAAAAAATTTTTTTTTTTGTCTTTATATCAAAAAATCTTTTTTTATCTTTAAACTTTAAAATTCAATATATTTTTAGTCTTTTTGTTAAATTTTTGCTTATCTAACACATTAATTAACGAAATCATTTAATTAATTTCTATATAATTAATATTATAAATGACATGAAAATTAAGTGGATAAAATTATAAATACACGTAAACATTTTGTGCCACATGTATAAATTAAAAATTTTACTTTTAATTCATAAATTAAATGAATTTAAATGAAATTAACTATCATTTCTTCATCTTCTTCTTTCTTCTCATCCTCATCCTTGCCATTCTCTTTGCCATCCTCTTCATCCTCCTCTTTATAATCCCTCTTCATCATCCTTCTTCATCATCCCTCTTGCAACCCAGTTGTTGGGTTCCACGAGGAACCCAGCAACTTAGGTTCTGCGCAGAATCCAGTTTTTGGGTTTTGATCCTTTTTTTCATTTTTTTTTAATTTTGAATGTATCTGAACTGAATGAAACTGAAACTAAAATTTCATGTTTGGTTTTGAATTAGAGATGTTAAGTTCTACGTTTGTGTTTGATATTTGGGTTTGAAATCGTTGGTGATAGGTTCATGTTGTTGTGATTATATTACTATGAATTTCATAACTTGGTTCATACATGACCTAGGTTAACAGACAAAGAAAGGGTTGAAAATCTAAGAATTTTATCTTGATCGAACTCACATGTAAAGGATTGATTATGAATAAAAAACAAGAATTTTGAAAGAAGGAAGATGTTATCTGAAGAATTTCAGAATGTTTGATTAAGGTTTTTTTTTGCACGAAAAGAGTGACATGGAAGGGTGTTATTAAGTCCATGTAAGCATTTTTACACGGTGGAATGTTTATGTCAGTTATTGTTGTTAAGATAACGTGCCATATGAGCAAAATTTAATGAAAAGACTAAAAAATGGTCAAATTTTAAACCATAAGAATTAAAAATGAGTTTTTTTCAATATAGAAATAAAAAAAAGAGCTTTTTTCAATAATAGAGGAACAAAAAAAATATTTAGGGCATGTTTGGTGCAGCTTGTTGGAGTTTTTTTTTTGTATTGTTTATGAGTGATAAATTTAAATTTTTATTGAAGGAAAATTTTAAAAGTTGTTTTTATAGATAAAAAAAAAGAGTAAAAAATAAGTAAAAAAGAAGTTTATGAAAAATTTAAATTTAAAACTTTTGATCTTTTACTGTTTAGGATTTTTTTAAAGTTAAAAAAAATTTAAAAATGTAAAATTTTTTTTTTTAGTGTTTCTCCCGTGCTCTGCTCAGGGTTGAGAGTAGAGGCGACAGGTTTCCTCCTTAGGGTTTCTCTCCAGCATAGGAGTTCCTTCTCCCCTCCTTTCTTCTTATCCTCACCTTGCTCTTCGATCTCTCCTTCACCTTTGTCAACTGTCTTGCTTTGGAAACTTCAGCCCAAGGGATCACAAGGCAGCAACATATTCAGATCTACATCTATGGTTAATTTTTGGCACATCTTCTCGGATGGGTTCTTGGTGAAAGTTGAATTCGGCAACGTTTGTTCATACCAATTTTAGATTAAGTAGTTGAATATGAAAGGAAAAGGATGTCATGGGTGTCGGTGATTACAGTCTGCGCGAGAAGTATGATATTCAAACCAACAAAGGGGCTCTAGATCCCTCAATAGGGTGGCAACTTGTAGGTTGGGGACTATTGTTGTCGAAATCCCTGCTCTCCCCATGAAGCTGGTTAAATAGGTGAGATAGTTTAGTTAGCTTCAATGCTCATAATGACTCTCTTTTCTATCTTTGTAGCCCTATTTAGCTATTACAGCGATTGTATTTGCAATTTCTAGTTACAGATGACTCTCTTTACTTAATTATCTATATTTATCATAAGTATAGTTTAAATTTATTACTAGTACTGTAAGTTATGCTTCTAATTTTCTTGTTTAGCTACAATGCCTTTTAAGTTATATGCCTGTGATGGAGATTGGTTCTGTATTTCTTATTAGTTAATGTAATTTTTTTTTATAAAAAAAAGTAAATTTT